TTCCTCGGTTATGTCAAGAGGTCATACCCACATACTCAAAAATCCACTGCCATTGAGTCAGTTCCGATTCATCGAGACTCTGTTGGACAAAGTAGAACTACCCCTGTGAGTTTCTAAAACTGTAACTATGTGTGCGTAGCTGCTCCTTGAAAGAAAGAGGAGGCTTTCTACTCCTAGAAGTTAGTAGCCCAACTCAGAAGGTGTATTTTAATAGTGTGTGTACTTGTATGTATATTATATGTATATATATTCAGATTAGAAATAAAGAGGTAGAGATGGGAAAGATAGAGACCATATCACATGAAGACAGATCACCAGGGAACCACAGAACAAGGACCTTCCCACAGAGCTTGCCCCTAGAGCGGGCACCTTGAATTAGGACTTCCAGCCTCATAAACTGTGAGAAAAGAAACATATTTAAGACACCCACTGTGTTATTTCTCTTACAGCAGCACTAGGTAAATAAGACACACATAAATCTCTTGAGGACAGGTGTGTTAATCTGGGTAGACTAGAGAAACACATCCATAGACACTCATGTGTATAAGAAAGAGCTTTATATACAAGAGCAGTTGAATACTGAGAAAACATCCCACCCTAGTCCAAATCAAGTCCATAAGTCCATATTACCCCATATGTCCAATACCAATCTATTAAATTCTTCCTCAGACTCAGGAGACACATGCAATGACACCGAATGCAGGAAGATCACAGGCCAGTGGGTGGGAAGTCTTGTGGATCCAGTGGTGATAGAGGCATCTCAGTGCTGGCAGGGGTCTCCACGTGGCTTCTTCAGCTCCAGGGCTCTAGTGTAGCTCCATATGTCTTGCCAACAGGAATGTTTCTCAGAGTGAGTGTGTATCCCGCCTCCAGCGAGCTATTTATCTCCTTAGGGCTTTCAAATGAGGTCATCAAGCTGTGATCTGATTGACAGGCTAAACTCCACCCCTTCACTGTTAATACTCTCAGATTGACAACAGATTATGTAAGTACCACAACAGGAACTTTGTTTTACATCTACAGTAGCTGGGTCCCTTGTCCAGAACACAATCCAAACCAAACTCACAGTCAATGAGTCCATGCTGACTCATAGCGACCCTATAGAACAGGGTAGAACTGCCCCTGCGGGTTCCAAGGCTGGTAACTGTTTACTGAAGTAGAAAGCCCCATCTCTCACCTACGGACACACAGTAGGTACTTAATAAACATTTATTGGTAAAGGTATCAATAAAGAGTGCTGATGGCTTAGTGGGTTGGTTACATGTTAGGCTGCTAACCACAACGTCCGCAGTCCCAAATCAACAGCCCTTTCGAGAAAGAAAGATGAGCCTTTCTTGTCCTATAAAGAGTTACAGCCTTGGAAATCCACAAGGGCAGGTTTATACCATCCTATGGGGTCACTGTGGGTCGGAAATCCCTCCACAGCGGGGAATGAGAAAGGTGCAAATGCAGACACCTCCGGTTCTCATCAGTAACACCCCAGAGGCACAGTCACTCTGGGCATCATAGCCTTCAACATTCCCCTTGCTCCGGAATGACATTAAGAACCTTAACTACTTTGCGTTTCATTTGAACAGACCATTTGATGCATTATTTCATCCTAAAATCGAAAGAAATCACTTCCTCTCCTGGCAAACACAGAAGCTGGGCTCTAAGCTTGGCTGCATACAAAGTCCTTTGAGTTTCTGCTGGTTCAAAGACTGACAGTTACTGCCACTTCTAGCGCGCTTTACTCTGCTTTCTGTCTTCTTTCCCTGCTTGAGGACAATGTCCATGCCCTTTCGACTCGTTTTATCATTTTGAGGGTGGCAAACACTTTCAGTGAATACCATGTGGACACTTTTGCAAAGGAGATAAGTTCTTATTATTGCACAGAAACAAACATCTGATCCCATAGTTACTTTGTATGAGACAAGAGTCCAGAGGTGGTTAGAGACCTGCTGGAGGCCACAAAACTAACTTGTATAGCCTAGATAGGTCAAAGCTCACATCCCTGAGGTCCCAGCGGAGTGTTCTTCACACCTGCCTGCCTAGTTTTCTTTACCATAAAATCTCGATGCCTCCTACCCCCAATGCATCAGGCTTCTTATCTCCACAGCCTTCAACTACCAAATTCAAGAAAGGTTTTTCTCAGGTGTCATCAAACTTCTCTCTCCAGCCATGAGAGAAGAAGGTGGCCTTGAAACTAACTTGACTTTAATTTTGTGATCAATGACAATACATAGTTCAAAAGTCTGACAAAGTCTACCGTCCGCTTGAGGGAGAACTTGCTTCGGCCCTGCTCCTCATGGTTAGGGACTGACTGAGCTCGGCCTGCTGTTCCCGGCCTGCTGTTCCCCGGAGCTCTGGTCCCGAGGTGGACAGTCCAGCAGTGGCTGCCACCGTGGGCTCCAGCAGAACTGTGGGGGTGGTGCAGGAAGCAGGGTTTCATTCTATTGTACTCAACTCGATGGCACCTAACAACCGGGTGTTTGCTGTCTCTTTTATGAGTTGAAAAGGGTGGTGAGTTCGGTTTTGAGTTTTGTCCAGACTTGAAGGGGATGACCCGGTCTATCTCTGGCTGACAGTGCCTCCTAGTGGCCACTTTAGAAAATCTGCCATCAAATCCCTTCTGATTCATAATGACCTGGGACAGGGTAGAACTGCCCCTGTGAATTTCCGAGACTGTGGATCAGCAAGTTCAGTCTTTCTTGCGCAGAGGTGGCTGGTGGTTTCCACCACCGACCTTGCGGTTAGCAGCCCAACACACTACCACTATGCTCCTTCCTGGTGACCAAGGCCCCCCGCATTTTCCAACGGGAAAGTGACCAGGGCAGCAACAGCCCCCTTGGCCACAACTGTACTACCCTTCCCGTAAGGACAGCCCAGTGTCCTGCACTGAGAACTCTGTATTTATGAGATAACCACCTTGTGCCAATATTTTGCTGACTAAATTCCCCAGCATGACCATGACAAGGAAAAAAATATATAAGGATTGCAAATATAGAGAAGTCACAGATCTCTCCACAGCAGGTCATTTTGAAAAAGTGCTTTGTAATAATGCAGTCACTGTTTTCCCCATCAGACTTGGGGGGGGGGGGGGGCTCTTGACACCCTCTTCTTATAGATGACTTCAGGCACCCAGCAGTGCCAAATTATCCTTCTGAAGTCATGCTTAATAAGAGTTTGTGAGAATAAGTTTAAATGTGTTGCACAGATATGTCAAGAGGCTCATCGGTTTCTAGAAGCTTGTGCCCCGAAAAGAATTTGCATGATCCCAAAGATCATACTTTTCAAGTGCATGAACTCACTAATGTTGAATCAATGCTGGCTCATGGTGACCCTAGAGGACAGAGTCGAACTGTCCCTGTGGGTTTCTGAGACTGTAACTCTTTTTTAATATTAAAATATAGTTTTATTATCATAGTTTTCACATATCATACAATTTAATCATTCAGACATATTAAGAATCATCACCACAATCAATTTGTGAAGTTTCTTCTCATACTCCTTGTTAGCTTCCCATTCCCTCCCACCCTCCCCTGCCATACTCGTATCCGGTTACTGTCTCTAACTCTTTACAGAAGCAGACAGCCTCATCTTTCTCCCATGGAGTGGCTGGGGGCTTTGAACTGCCAACCTTGTGATTAACACCCCAATGCTTAGCCCACTGTGCCACCAGAGCATCTTTTAAAAATATATATGCTTTTTAAAATAGAAAACCATGCCTGTCAGCTCAACCTTGGTATCACAGTTCTGAGGCCATGCTGCATTAGATCATGCAAATGTAAATCGGGGAGCTGGGAAGGAGAACCCTCTGATGAATAATGAGCGAAGCCATCCCACCACAATGAAGAGGGAAGCTTGTCTTCAGGGTCTAGTAACTTCCTTCGATTTGCCTTATGGTCCCCAAGGCACCTTCCGCCCCCCTACTTACTGTCTTCTCAAGGGACCGCCGCTCTCCCTTATCCTTCCTCTGCTATTTCTAACGTATCTTCTTCAAGAACGACATATTCTCTTGTCCATTCTCGAAAGGCCCGATTGTATAATCCCATGTGTTCATGCCAAGATTTGAATAGCATGTTACCGCCAACTGGTCTTTAACTTTGGATGATATTTGCAGTCTAACTTGGGCCCCCATAACCCCAAAGCTAATTGGGCTTGGAAACCAACATTCTCTCCCACATGTTGCACCCTGCCCGCCTCCCGGGCCTCAGTACCAAACACGATGACTTGGAGGTGAATGTCTTATGCTTTGCTGTGTGGCTCCATGTCCCCACAGCTGACCACCCTTGCAACGTCTCTGCGCTGACTGACCATCAAGTCCGTGTTCCAGAATCAAAGGGCTTTGGTCCAGGGGTCTGCAGGCACCGCATTCTGATACCTCTTTGTGTATTCATTCAACTGGCGAAGCGCATGCAAAACGGGCAAATACACAGGCCTCTGAGCCTGAGCAGGATTCCTCTCCAGTGCTTGTTGCCTGCCAACCGAAGTGCTGGACAGCTGGGAGTATTTATAACACAGGGTAAGAGTAGGTGGGTGTAGGGGTGGGATGTCTGGCAATTCTTGAGAAGATTCAGGCATTTAAAATCCAGTGTGCCTAAAAATTTAAGACTGGAGGAGATGAATGAGCAGGGCGAAAAATTAATAGGCATTACGCTAAAAGCCTGACTTCCGTCCTGCCTTGACTGTCTCATCCAACAGGTTTCTTAGAAATTTCTAGAATACGTAAGCCCCCTGCTGGGAACCGCCCAAGGCCTGGCGACTCTCCTCGCCCCTCCTCCCAAACCGCCCACACCGCGCCGCCCGTGCGTCTTCTGGGTCAGAACGCGTTTCGCCATCCCCGGGGCAGCACCCCCAGACCCGCGAACCCTCCGCTCGCGCTCCGGGGGAGCCGCGCCCGCGCGCCCGTGCGCGCAGCCGGCTGCGGGGCCGCGCCGCGCCGCGCTGATTCGCTGCCGGGGAGACTGCGGCGCCCGCCCCTCCCTCGGCGCGCAGCCTGGTGCAGCCTCAGTCCGCCTGCAGCCGCGCGGCCACCGCGAGCGAGCCCCGCGCAGGACCGCCCGAGTGCCCCGAGGAAGGCTCCCTGAGCCCGCAGGATGCAGGCCACGGCCGATTCCACCAAGATGGACTGTGTGTGGAGCAACTGGAGGAGTCAGGGTATTCGCTTTCTTTCAGTACTGCATGCCCGCGGCGCACGGAACCGGCACCGCACTCGGCCATTGTGCAGCATGTCACCTGTGGGACCTTTGCATGCTTGAGACCCAAGGGCTTTCCATGGGGGGGAGTAAACCGCGTTTTGCAAAATCAAAATGGATGGTGTTGGCAGTATTTTCATTTTTTCCATTCCCCCCCTCGCCCCCGTTATCCCCCACTCCCACCTCCTTTGTTTTCTGGTTACCCTGCTAGTATTTTAAATAAGGCGGTTGGTGTCTCTCCCAGAGCTCTTTAGGGGTCCGTTGGTCGTTCCACACTTGTTTCATCTCTTCTCATCCTGGAGTTCAATGCTCCCATAGGGTTCATGCAGCCTGTGCATGCATTTATGTCTTGATAGAGCCATTAACCGAAAGGGCCCCCGAGCATCCTTTTAAGCGGGACACACCCATTTCAGTGTTGTTATTTGTGGTCACACAAAGGAGAGCGGAGAGGCAGGCTGGCTCTTGAAATGCTGAAAATCTGATGGCGTAGCCACCTATAAGGATGGATCATTTTGAAATATTTCAGTTTTGTTTGGGTCTGTCATCGAGGTAACCTGTAACACCTGTTTATTAATAAGGAGTCTTTGTAGAACAAGTGGAGGGGAATGAAAAACAAACCAACAGTGCGGCCTGCCCTCTGGTTCGCAGATGGATTTTGCCACAGTCCGTATCCACACTGGGTGTGGCCACCTCCAGCCTCGCTGGGTTTGCTCTTCAGCCATTTTTATTCCGCCTTATCCCTCACACCTCCCTCTCTCCTTTGTTACATTCGGATGCTCTCCCTCACCTACCTCGTTAGAGATGAGGAGGAGAAGGGGCTAATTTGATAGAATGAATTGTGTGGGGGAAACTTGAGTGTACGATGAAGTGTCAATATTGAACACGTTTGGATCTGAAGAAGATGCCTTCGTGGGAACCTGCAGAGTCTTGCAGCATCCCTCGAGGGACCGAGGTTACCCTGGAGCAGCTGCTGAGACGTTTAAAACCCGGGCCATCTTCCCCTTGTGATTTTCTTTTCTTTTTTTCACAAAGACACGAGGCTACCTTTTCTTCAGCGCCCCTGAGAACATTGGTTGGGGGAAAGGGATTAGGCAAAGAGAAAGTCAACATCAGTCTAGGGAGGGGGTGGGAGGGTTCCTAGGCGGTTTGGGTGACTGTGGCACAAATGCAATTATCTAGTTCAAATGGGGGGGGGGGGCGCTTTTGGAAAGCAACTGTTCAGAGTAAATCGATGGACCCAGTAAACATAAAAGCCAGGAAATCAATATATGGCAACGGAGAGGCATGGTTTTAAAAAACCATGTTAACTACGTGGAATACCAGCCCCAACCCAAACCAGTGCCACGCAGTGGTTGCCGAGAGAACAGAACTGCCCCCTAGGCTTTGCACGGCTGTATGTCTTCACAGAGTGGACTGCATGCCACCTTCTTCTACGGAGCTGCTGGTGGGGTGGAACTGCTGACATTTGGGTTTTCATTCGTGCACCTTAACCTCTGAGCCACCATGGCTTCTCTACCAGATGTAGTAATATATCTTTATTACAAAAGGCAACTGGGTAAAAATCCTTGTGACCTTTCCTTCTTGTTAGATGTTTAGACGCACCCTGTTTATTTGAGACACAGCCTAGAGAAACAGCTACGGCATGGTGTCACATCAGGAGCTGTTGGACAGAAAACAGGCTCGTACACGGTCAGCATGGCGGACCTCCGTCCTCTCCAAAGTAGCCATTCAAGGGTGGCTTTTTTCTCCTTACTGTATTTGTATGTGGTAAAGGAGAGTGCCACCAGGCAAACACAATTTTATGTGCCTCAGCTGACCTTCTCATGGGCAATTAAAACAAACAAAACAATTTACAAACGTTTGTCATAAAAAACACAAAATGACATAATTTGTCCTTTGAGGACAATCGTTTTCCTTGTCAATATACAACTACTTGTGAAGATTAATTTGATACTGTTGACATTTGGTGACCTTTGATAGTCGTCAGTCCCATTGATTTATCTTTGTCAGATAGAACAAAGCCATTACTTTGGAAATTAACCAATAATGAGGTGGGCGGGTTTATATGCACAACAGAAATGATAAGTGAAGTATTCCCCTTTTCCACCCCAATGGGAGAACTCTTCATTTGAATAAATCTTCATTAAGTTGTGTGTTTGTTTGTAGCTGTTGTTTAGTATTTTTGACTTATCTTCTTCACTTCTATTTCCTGTACCCTTAAAAAGCAGGATTTCTTCATTAGAATCCCCTGGAGTATGGTATATACTTGCATACAGTAAGATATAGTATTAAAGACTATAAAGGATGCCTGGGCCCCACCTTAGAGATTCTGATTTGATTGGGCCAACATTCCTCAAGCCAATGTAATTATTTTCCAGAATGGCAAACGCTGCTGTGTATTCATTCTCAATGAGTCCCTTCCATAGACCATCAGAGCAGAGGTCCAGTACACAAATGATGGAATGGCGGGGGCGGGGTGAGGGGGTGGCGCTGATTTTAGGAGCAGCTGTGATACTGCAAGTCAGTGTAGTATCCTCTATAATGTGTTCTGAAGTTGAAGCAAGATGAACGCTTGGCTTGGAAGGGAATAAAAAGTATGCACTTTGGGTTTCCTCCATATTATTCTTATATTCTGTGGAGAAACTGCATCAGACTGAATACTTCATGGAGACTTTACTGGAACAAATTACAGTGTGTCATAAAGACTGTGATGCACATGCACAAGGAACCTTAAATTTATTTTATTAACATAAAGTGCTATATGGTTTATCACAATTTGTTATTTCAGTCCTGAACAAGAATGTTTAAAGAAAGGGCAGCTAAAGTCCAACCTTAGGCTATATTGTACAAGTGCTACTTCTTGTGATTAAAGGGGGAAAAATCAGCCAAAGAGATTTTCTGACAACTGCTATCAAGTCCATTCTAGCTGACAGGTCCCTGTATAGAGTTTCCAAGGATGTAAATCTTCATGGGACTAGATAATCCGATCATTATTCTGTTGGGCACTGGTGGGTCTGAACTGCCAGCCTTGGGGCATGGCAGTCTAACACTTAGTCCACAGTGCCACTAGGGCTCCTTAAGCTCTTTCCTACAATTTTGAAATGAAATGAGAATTTAACATTAATGCCATGAGACACCTAACCCTTTGCCATCTGTCTGTTTTACCTTCCTGGGACCCTACATAGGCTTTAAATCAGTATGGGAGAAGACAGCTTCAACTTTCTCTAAGGAGCAGCTGATGAGTTTGAACCACTTACCTTATAGTTAGCAGTTCAATACCTAGCCCTCAGTGCCACTTCTCAGTGCTATAGAGTCAATTCTGACTCATAACAATCATGTAAGAGAGAGTAGAACTGCCCCTGCAGGTTTCTAAGACTATAAATCTTTATGGGAGTAGAAAGCCTCATCTTACTCCCACAGAGCCGTTATCAGCCTAGTACATAACCTTGACACCACCAGGGGTCAGATAACAACCCTACTAATCTTTATTGAGCACTTGCTGTGTATTCTCCTTGTATCATTGCATTTTATCATCACAGATTCCATGAAGTATATGTTTTATCATTATCTGAAATTTATAGATGAAGAGCTGATGTTTTCTCCAAGACACACAGCTAGTAAGTGACAGAGGCTGGATTCTGGCCCAAGCTGTCTGATCCCAGAACCCCTCACTTTTCATTGTTTTCCCATCTGCCTCAGAGACAGAACGTTTTTCTTCATTGACTTTTCTAAAAGTATGAACAAGCTAGATGATGCTGGTGATGGTGTGGGCTTAATAACTCATCATGCTGAAAGAGATTGTGTTTTGCCTAAAACCTCTCATTCGAGCCTTTCCATTTACTGGATATTATGAGACTCAAAGAGCTCAACCGACTCCCCCAGGTTTAATGTAAGTGGCAAATTTAGTAGTAAAATGTGTCCTTCTTGACTTAAAATCTAGAACTTTTCCTAGTTCAACACTAATTTGAATTACAAAATCACACTTTCATTTAGAGAGAATGGTTTCACATAGGCTAGCCCTTTATAGAATGTGGAAAGCAAAATTTAGCAGCACGGCAACTCTCTTGATAAGTATGTATCAATTTTGTCATGTCATGATCACCCTCAAGTCCATCGTCTTAATTCTTCCATACATATCTATGTGCCAGGCAGTATCCTGAATTCTTGTTTCATGTAATATCTTACTCAAACATCCAATGAGATCATTGTTGCTTTCATTTTGTAGATGAGGAAACAGGTTTAAGACTGAGAAGGTCAGGGATTTGCTATAGAATGTATCTGGACCCTGAATGCAGTGCAGTCTGATCTCTACTTTAGGCTTTCCCCCACCCTCCTTCTGGTAAAAATATACAGAGTCATATACTAATTTCTAATCATTCAACAATTTCTGCTCACACACCTCAGGGATACTGATTACATGCTTCAAGTTAGGCCGTTGTTCTTGTTATCCGTTTCCAACTGTTCCATTAACTTTAACTCATTAATCCCTAAGTGTCTCATCAAACTTTTTAGGTTGCTATTGCCTATGGGATCTCTCCCACAGATAATTCTTTAAATTGAACATAATGCTCATGGACAACATTCTTTACTAATTAAACTAACCTGTGGTTTGGTTCAAAGAAGACTTCAGGGGACAGATTTAGTGTAAAGTTTAAAAGTTATCTCAGGATAGTAATTTCAGTGGTTGAACCAGTGCCAGAAAATCTGGATTCCATTCAGAATTCAAAATTCTACTCCTTATTCGAGCCCACCCCTCACCCCCGATCAGAATTCTGTAGAATCTTTGATCAAAATGATCAGTAATGTTGGCCGGATACCATCCAGTTCATCTGGTTTCATGACAAAGGAGACAGTGATTCATGGAGGTAATAGACACACTGTGCACTGAAGCCAACACTTTTAACTACTATTCTAAATCCAAAAGGTACCAAGAGGGAAACCAGGTTTGACTGCATAGAACCA